TTAACCCTATCCTCAATCTCAAATCCCACGAATTATTAATGAAAACGGAAGAGATTACTTTTTCTTTGTTGCCTAAAAGGGAGTAAAAGGTAGGGTACCTATCTCTAAGTGAAAACTCACTAACCCAAGTGTCTTCCCAAAACAACACTTATTATGGTGATTCTCTCTCCAAGAAGAAGATAATTTTTCTTCCAAGAGGCAAATCTCTCCACAACCAAAATCTAGAACCCTCCTTTTTGAGGATTATCTTCTAGAGGCAAGCCAAGGTAGTTTATGGGCCAATTAGATACTACACACTACAAATTATCTACATACTCAAATTTCACTAAGGATTATCTTCCTCTCCCCCAGGTTCATTCCTACTATACAACATTTTTCAAAATTCACTTTTTTTTATCAGCAATTTTTTTTTAATTCAAAATTCACTTTAAGATTTGACATTTGCTCAAAGAGTTGTATAGTAAGCTTCAAATTCCTAATTCAATTGAGATCCCCTCTACAAAAAAATTATTGTATCATTTGCAAACTACAAATGTATAAGTGGTATATTTTCTCTTCCAACTCTCCATTCCTTGATTAAATTCCTAGAGTCTGCTCTAGAGATTAGTCTCCCCAACACTTTTACAATCAAGTTAAATAGAAATGGAGAAACGAGGCCTCTTTGTCTTATACCTTTCAAGGCTGGGAAAAAATCCACCACTGACTCATTCACCAAAATAAAATAATGGTAAGTCCTAATGCATCTCATTACCCACCTGCACCATTTATCTCTAAACCCAAAATTGATCATCACCTCCAATAAGAATGACCAATCTACCAAATCATAAGCCTTTTTCCAAATCCAACTTGCAAACCACCCTTTTTTCTTTGATCTTTTAAAATCCTCAATACTCTCATTTACTATAAGAATTTGATTAGTTATTTGCCTCTCCCTCACAAAGGCTTCTTAATTATTATTACCTATAATGGTAGGGAACACCTGTCTAACTATAAGGGACAACACCTTCGCAATAATCTTACACAGACTATTTACTAGGCTGATTGGTCTATAGTCTCTCAAATGGTTTACTTCTCTCTTCTTGGGAACCAAGGCAATGAAGGTGGAACTCATCTTCGTGTTAATCACTCCTCTACTATGGAATTACTCAAACACCAACATTAGATCCTCTTTCAAAATCTCCTAGCAGTCCCGATAAAAAGTCATTGTAAAGCCATCTAGTCCTAATGCCTTTGACTTATTCATAGAAAACACTACCTCCTTTACCTCCTCCAAATCAATTTTTTTCTCCAGCCATTGTCTTTCCTTTGTACTCAAGTTTGTCCACTCCAATCCCCCAATCCATACTCTATTATTTAGTGGTCTTCTAAAGATAGATATATAACAATCCACAAAGACCCCAGTGATTTCTCTCTGATTGGATAGTGTTACCCTTTCAACTTCCAGGCTTAAGATGAAATTTTTTATACTTCTTCCATTTTCCACAACATGAAAGAATTTAGTATTCCTATCCCCCTCTTTCAACCACTTACATATTGATTGTTGCTTTCAACTTTCCTTAAGCAGATAATACTCTAAATATTTTCATAGTCTCCATTTTTATTCCTTATCCTCTTCTATAAGACATCCCCTCTCTTCCTTCAAATCCAATACTTCAATTTGTACAGTCATAATGTGTTTTCTTTCTTCTAGCCTCCCAAACTCTAAGAGATTCCATTCCTTAATTCTATCTTTTAGATATTGGAGCTTCTTATGGAACCCCATTCCATTTCATTCAACTACAGGATTACTCCCTAGCCAACATTCTTTAACTTTCTTAATAAAGCCCAGGTGACCTAGCCATATGTTTTCAAACCTAAATGGAATAGATCCTACATTTCTCAATTCTTCCTTACAAATCACAAAAGGCCAATGGCTTAATATTACCCTTGAATGAGCTCTAGAGGTCAAACTCCCCCAATGTTCTTCCTAGTCATTTGGAAAAAGAAATTTGTCCAGCTTGGAGCAAATGGGATTCACTTGGAGATTGGACCAAGTAAAAATTCTATGTGACAAAGGGGTCTCTTTAAGCTCAAATGCATCCACAAATTGGTTAAACTTCCTTAGGCTTGTAGTCACCCTCTGCCTAGGATTATTTGTTTCTTCCAAAAACCTGATTACCATTAAAATCACCTCCTAAGCACCATGATCCTGACCACGTTCCCTTGATATCATCAAATTTTTTCCATAACTTCTTCCTCTCTTTATAGTCATTAGGCCCATAGAAATTTGTTAATACCAACTCATATCCGTCCACCTACCTAAACTTCAAGGAGATTGAAAATGGACCTATCAGTTTCTTCAAACCTATGAGTACCTTCCTAACACCCACCTATAAGACTTCCATCCTCTCTTCCATCTTGTCTACCTTCCTAACACCCACAACAACCTTCTTCACGGTGCCTTCTCTCCACATTCTTCCTTTCACAGCTCAAACTCTGTCATTGGACTATTGTTGCACTTTAAACTACTACCTATCAATGTTTGATAAATTATTTTGCCTCTTAAGATAAGTGTGGTGATTACCTTTATGGCTACAAATGATTTTGTTCTTTCGAAATCACTTCTTCTCAATGAACATTGAAGGGAGGGAGGGACAGCATTAGCTTTCCTTAGCTACACCCAGTTAGATGGTCCAAATTATTTGGAATGGTCTAAGCCTCTAAGGGCATTAAACTTTACATCATTGCAAGGAGGAATGCTGGCTATATTAATGGCATGGCCAAAGAACCTAAAACTAGGAATGCTCAACATAATAGGTAGGATTAGGAAAACAACATGCTTATGCCCTAGCTCATCATTTTAATACAGTCACAAGTAAGAAGAAACTTTGTGGGCAAATATAAATTGTAAGATTTGGCAAGCAAGGTCCACTTATTTTTAGTAGGGGAACTATGCCAAAATCTATCAGTTATAAGCAGAACCCTTGGTTTATAAGCAGGGTGATAGGAGTTTATCTACTTACTATTATGCCTTAATATTTGTATGAAGGGATTTAAACCATTAACGAAGCATTGATTGGAAGAATGAGGAAGACACCAAGGTTTACAAAATGTCAGTATCACAACAATAAATCTTTATGTTCTAGATAGGGTTGAATTAGGGATGGCAATTTCGTGGGAATTTTTGAGTATCCGACCCGTCCCGACCCTAATAGGACCTATTTATCAAAACCCTATAGGGCTTGGGACGGGTTTGGGATTTTAGATTAAAACCCTATAGGGTATGGGATGGGTTTGGGTTTTGAATTTAGGGTATCTGATAACCAATACCCGGGATGCACAAGTATGAACCTATTAATCTATTATATTATATATCATGCACAAATTTATAAATTTTAAGTACTAAGATAATTATTCTATTATTAGTATTTTATTTGTATAAATTTCTTGGTATTAAAATCATCATTTGATGTAAATTTAGATTTGATAGATTGTTTATTTCATTTAGTTATAAAATGTTAATTTTAAATATTATTTCTTTTAATTTTTAGTTGAAATTGTTAATCATATACATGTATTGATTGTTTTGATGAACACAAAAGTTAATAAAATCTATTTTATTTCATTAATTAACACAAAAGGCAAGATGTCTTAGTGGCTTAAAGTAGTGTTAAGAGATTTGGTGCTATCATTAATTGATCCGGGTTCAAGTCACACTATAAGCATTAAGAAGCTTTTTTTAGTAGAAAACGTTTGGTCAAGGGGTTTAACTGCCGGGATGGGTTTAACGGGTTTGGGACGGGATGGATTTGAAAAATTAAGAGGAAAAGTTAGAGAGGTTTAGGACAGGTTTGGAATTAGGGGTACATAGACGGGTTTGGGAATGGGTAGGGCAATTTGCATGGGTACCCTACCCGTTGCCATTCCCAGGTTGAATCCTATGAACAAAATTACTTTTATTAAATTACATTTATAAAAATACTTTTGTGAAAGCACTTTCACAAAAGCACCTTTATAAAAGCACTTTTATAAAAGTAATTTTATGAAAAGTACTTTTATGGAAACACTTTTGTGAAAGCACCTTACAAAAGCACTTTATAAAAGTACTTTTTTTATGAAAGTACTTTAATAAAAGCACTTTATGAAAGCACTTATATGAAAGCACTTTCATAAAAGCACTTTTACAAAAGTACTTTTAGAAAATTCAACTAGGGATAATTTATAAGTGGTATTTTAAAATTCAACTAGGGATAATTTTGGAAGAAAAAAATTGAATAAATGCTTATACAATAAGCACTTAAAAAAAAGATGAAAATTTGGGCATAAAAAATAAGCCCTTAGTTTTAAAATAAGCACTTATTTCATGCTCATTCCCAAACACCAATAAGTGCTTAAGGGTGTGGTTCCACCCAAATAAGCACTTACTTTGAATAAGCACTTATTTTTAAGCACTCCCAAACATGGCCTAGGTATCACATAGACAATAAGCACTTTAAAAACAAGCTGGAAATTTGAGCTTAAAAATAAGCCCTTATTTTTAAAATAAGCACTTATTTCGGGTTTCTTTCCCAATCACCAATAAGTGCTTAATGGTGTGGTTCCGACCCAAATAAGCACTTATTTCGAATAAGAACTTATATTTAAGCACTCACAAACATGGCCGGGTATCACATAGACCAATATGTAGCCCTTACAGTATGCCATCCAAGACCTCCTTAATAGTAAGAAGGTGATGCCCCAAAGGTGACTCATCCCAACCTCACATCGTAACCTCTTTCAGCCTATAATCAGCTACCAACCCTCAACATGGTGAAAGTATACATACCTGTGTATACTTGTATTGTCATGACTTGGCTGATTAATGTCTATATATTTACTAAGCTCAAATACATGTAAAATACCAAACACCATCAATTGCTACTGTTCAAGCGAACAATTAGGGGTGTATTAGTTATTTGCAATCTTCTTATTATGTGTGAGGAGGGCGTTGGGGCAAAATTGCCAAAAATAGTAAAATAAGATTAAAAAAACAAAAAGATATCCCTGTTTTGCAATATGAAAATGTTCCCAAGGTCTGTTATCCAATGACGTACAGGTGTCTATTCAATTTATTTGATACAACACTACAAAACGCGATTAATGAACGAAGACATCGATTGCCACATCCAATATCAGATCACAGATTTAGATATAATTAGTACACAGCATCAAACCTGCAATCTCTAACTTCATCTCCTATAAAGTTTCACTTTGTGGAAGTTTGCAAGCAGCCATGCGATCCTTTGACTTGTATTGACCAAGCATTTCAGCAACAGTTCTGCAACGACATTGATTACCAGGTCGTAGCACATCTCCATAAACAGCCATTTCAATAATGTCCAGCTCCTTGTCTGCAGGGTCAACTAACGTTGGTATCAACCACCAACCACTTATAATAAGCGGAACATCTAGGGGGCATCAGCCAATGGTTGGAACATCAAAGGGGAATTTGGAAGTCACCTAGAGCTAGATCATTTCACTTTAGCACCAATCACCAAAGAATCATTCCAATTTTAAGTTTGAATTTTCTCATATCATTGCAATGCATGAGTTTTAGAATCTGAAATAGAGGCATCATCAAGATACTTAATGGTATAAATTGATCCATTTCTTAACAACCAAGGATGGCCTCATTTCAATTTTTGTTAGCATTATTATTTTTTTTTTATAAATGTTGTTAGCATTATTGTTATCACCCATAATTTACACAATGAAGCTGTATTTTCAAATGCCATTAAAAATTTACATTCCTTGTATCTACTAAATGATATACAAGTAAATCATAGTCATTCCCCATGTGGGACCTCCGGCAAGAGATAAACACTTGCATCAGTGCAAGGTGCAATGGACTGCTGTCTACATTGATCTGTTGTGTTCATTTTTTTTTTTTTTTTGATCAATATCTGTTGTGTTCATGGGTTAAAAGTTTCCACCTATAAGATCTCCAAAGCAAATAGTATCCCAGTTCAATGATCAAAAAGTGTTAAATTTATAGCACTTCTTTTGGATTTTCTAACAAAGAAGGCAAAATGGGAACAAGAAACTAAATGATCATAATTATCCAATTGAAGAAGCTCAGAGTTTGCTAGTTCCCCTGTCCTATCCAAACCAGTGTTCTGAAAAGCATATGAGGCATTTATATACATTCGCTATAATAGGAGCTGCACAGAGATAGGCAATGCACTGACTCTATTGTAAAGTGAAATAGAAGTTTCTGGTAACTTCCTACTCACCTCAGGAGTCCACTTCAAGGGAGACTTGGCCTCCTGAACCAGTCATCAGAGAGAGAGAGAGAGAGAGAGAGAGAGAGAGAGAGATGGAAGGAAACTCTTCTTGCCTTCTCATTCCCTTTTTGCCTTATTTATACACTGCTATTACATTCTGTAACAACTGTTTACAGCAACAACAGATACTGGACCTGCTAAGTGGCCCCCTGACATATACATTCTTGATAGGCCCCACAGGCCTGAGTTGGCTTTTACCCTGCTCATCACTCTTACCAATCCCACCCCCTCAGGAGCAACTGTGTCCCGAAGGTTGAGATGACTGAACTGCCACAGCATCGCATGGTAGTCTTCCCATGTGGCATCCTCAACTGGAAGATGTTTCCAAATAACCAAGGTTTGCTGGATTGTCGCATTACCCTTCTTAATCATTCTGTAATCAGCAACTTGAGCTGGTTCTGGCAGTAGGGTGCCATCCTCCAAGAACTCTGGCAATGTTTGTGAAACAGGAGCAATGGGCCCCAGATGTTTCTTTAGCAGGAAATCATGGAAAGTGGGGTGCAATTTGGATAAGCCTGGAAGATCAAGCTTGTAGGCGACTTTCCCACCTTCTCTAGGATATGGAATGACCCAAAGAATCTGGGGACAAGCTTCTGGAACTCCTTTTGGCCGAGCTACTCTGCCTATAGGGGCGAAGCTTTAAGTAAACTCAATCGCCTACCTCATAAGTCACATCCCAATGCTTCTTACAATAATTCATTTTCATCTGCTGTTGCAGCATGAAGCAAATGGGTTTTAAGGTCCCTAAGGACAGAATCTCACTGAACCAAATAGTCATCCACCTCAGCCACAGCAAGGAGGGCACGCCACGCCCATAGAGAGCCTTAAATGGAGAAGCCCGTAGTGATGCATGGTACAAGGTATTGTACCAATACTCCACTCACTGCAACCATTTGAGCCACACCCATGGGCAATCACTTGTAAAAAAATGAAGTTCCAAGAATACGATTCACCACCTCGGACTGGCCATCCATTTGCAGATGGTAGATGGTCGATTCATGGAGCTTGGTCCCCTGGGCCTTGAAGTATTCATACAAAAATTTGCTCATAAAGGCCATGTCACAATCTGAAATAGTAGACCTAGGTGTCCCATGAAGACAAGAACCTGAATAAAGACCTTAGCCACTTGTGCATCCATATATGGGTGTGGCAATGGTGCAAAGTGTGCATATCTTGAAAGTCTGTCAACAAGGACTACAGTGACTATCTTACCCGACAAGGCGGGAAGGCCCATAATGAAGTTCATCATGACTTCATCCCAAACATGCTCAAGAAGAGGAATGGGCTGAAGTAGGCCAGCTGGTGTTTGACTATTATATTTGTGTCATTGGCATATTGAACATTGAGCTACACAGTCCCGTATATGCTTCTTCATGCATACCCAATAGAAATGTGAAGCCAGCCATCGGTAAGTATGCAAAGCTCCAGAATGACCACCACCAAGGGAAGCATGGAACAGCTCCAATAGGGCCAGAAGGTGGGCTGAATGTGAGGGAATAACCATCCTCCCATTAAACATAAGAACATTGAAAATCGAATACCCAAGCAGATGGCCCTTGCCTTGCTCCCTCGACTAACCAGCCAAGAGGTACATGGGCCGAGACATGAACAAGTGGCCTAGTTCCTAATGCCGCGACAGTGCATCAGAGTCCACCTAGGGTTGGTGGATTTTGTTGGGAAGTTTTCTTGGAAAAAATTAACAGTTGTGATTTACTCCAAAGAAAGAGATGTGATTGGTGTCTGTCCCCCCATTGGTGTACTCTCTATAAGACTAATGGTGAGACTTGATATCACTTGTTAATCTCTTGCCCTTTTGCTTATGTTATTTGGGAATTGTCCCTTTCTTTGTTCGGGTGCAAATGGAACCGCCCACCAAATGTACAAAGCTTGTTCGCTTCTACCTTTGTTATTTGGCCAAAGAAAAGGGGAAGAACTCTATGGAGGTGCACAAGAGTTGTTGTTTGCTGGACAGTTAGGGAAGAAAGGAATCAAATAACGTTTCAAATAAGGAGAGAAGCAGAGAAACACTCATTGAAACCATCAACATTAGAGTGGTCCATTGGGTGAAGTCCATGAGTTACTTTGAAAATATATCTTCTGTTGACTTACTTAGGAAGTGGAAGGAAGTGGCTGGTTCAGCACCTTCAGAGATGTAATCAGGCATTCTTGGTTCCTGCCTACTCGTGGTTTTATCAAGCTGAACTTTGATGGAAGAAGAGAAGGGAACCCAGTTCCTTTTGGCATTGAGGGTGTTTTTCAAAATGATGGAAGAATTATTGTACTCTACTCAGGTCCAATTGGTGTTGGTGATTCATTAAGGGCTGAAATCAAGGCTGTGATGGAAGGTGTACATAGAAAAAAGGAATTGAATATCAGGAGGCTGATTATTGAAGGTGATTCAAAGTTAGTGGTGGGCTGGCTAAAAAAGGAGGCAGCTGGATGGTGGAACTATGTTAATGAAAGGAGGTTCAAGTCTTAAGAGAGTTTACCTCTCTCCTTGGTGTTCTCTTGTATTTTTTTTCTTTTCCTAATGAAATAATTGATCAAAAAAAATCTCATGGCAGGTTGTACCAAAGCACTAGTGCTTCTTTGATAAGTTCGTGGCCTTGTTTGGTCCAACATATGTATTATCTTCTCTGGTGTCACCTCCAACTGACCATCAGCAGTGAATTCAGGAAGTGTAGAGCTGCAAATCATGTCTCCACTGATATATTTCCTAAGGAAACATGAAAGACAGGGTGGAGCTTAGATGTTGAAGGGAGCCCTAGCCTGTAAGCAACTTGCCCAATTTGTTGTAGGATGGGAAATGGGCCAAAATATTGGGGTGCCAGCTTGTGCCAAGACCTTCAAATCACTGAGGCTTGGCAGTAAGGCTGTAAGCGAATGAATACTAAGTTGCTAACCTGGTAAGAGACCTTATGTTTTCTGTCGTAACTACTCTTCATGATCTTCTAGGTGCGAGCCAAATTGTGCTTGAGTTCTTGCAAGATCGGATTTCTTTAAGGGAGTTGTTCATCTACTGATGCAACTGTAATGGAGCCTTTTTCATAAGGGAGAATTGTTGGGGGATCCCATCCATACAGGACCCAGAAAGGTGCCATCCCCACTGAGACGTGAAATGTGGTATTATACCAAAGTCGGCTCATGGTAACCATCTTACCCACAACTTGGGGTGCTTATTGAAGGTAAATCTCCAAGCATCTGTTGACCATCTCTGTCTGTCCATCTGTTGATTGAACCAGGTGGGTACCTTGGAGATGAAAACTTTCAGTCCAAAATTGGCACATGAAGGATGTAACTCGATCAGGCACTAGGGTTCAAGGTACACCATGAAGTTTGATGACTTCATTGGCTAATACTTCTGCTACCAAAGAGGCCGAATATGGGTGAGGGAGGGTGGTAAAATGAGCGTGCTTGGAGAGTTGATCAACTATGACCATGATAATTGTTTTCCCAACTGATGACAGCAACCCCAAAATGAAACCATTGAGCCATAGTTGTGAAGGTATGGGCAGCAGCTATAAGACCCCCAAGGGAAGTTGGTGGGGTACTTTGGCTGCAAACAAGCTCCACAAGCTGCCACAAAAGGCTGGACTGACTTCCGTATTCCTACCCATAGTAGGGACTTAAAAGTTCAAAGGACTCCTAAGTGCCCTCTGAAAGCTGAATCATGATACAGTTTGAGTAGTTCTGAAGTAAGGGATTGCAGGTAACACCATTCTCCTCTTGTAATATAGCACATGCCCAACATTGAATAATACAGCACTGTGGGTGGGTCTTGGGCCCATTGGTCCTTGATGATGCCCAATGCTAATTGGTCTTAACATCCTTCCTTGGGGCTTCAAGCAAAGGGTAGATGGGCTGGGTAACTGCCATGGACTGAAGCCCAATGCTACGTGAAAGACCATGAGCTGCTATATTAGTTGGCCCTGCCCTATATTCAATCTGGTAGTCATACACCATGAGCTTAGAGGCCTTCTACCTTTCAGGCATCAAAATCTGCTGGTCCATGAGAAATTTAAGGTTGTGTTGGTTTGACCATATGGTGAAGCAGCGCCCAATTAAAT